CGCACGATGGGGTCCTGTTCCGACTCAGTTGTGATTTCCAGCCGGTCAGCACGCTTGAACGCGAGCAAGCAGCTCTCCGGATTCGCGTCAATGCCATGCTTCAGGAAATCATTTCCTTCATTTTCTAGATCATGATGGAAACAGAATTCGGCTGCTTCGAACCACATTTCGGGCAAGAATCTGAGGGCCATGAGAGCTTGTTTGTAGACATAGATCACCCGGGCTTTGAAGGCCGCGGGATCGTCTTCCTTCAGCACAAGCGGGTCGTCCTTCTCCCATTTGATCCATTTTTTCCAGATCTCCACCTGTTGCGCATACTCGACGTCCCCGTCAGAGCCAGGCACAGGCGGCATTCTGGGCAGTGACGTACGAAGGAGTCCCTGCGTGATGTGCTGCAGCTCATGATAAGCGGTGCGAGCGGTTACAAAGGCCGGCGATTGTTCCTGAACAAATTTGAAGCCCTATATGAATTGAATGTGAGCCTGACAATCTCCCAAATCCAAAAACACCTTGGAGAACTTACCGTCATCTTGTTCAGTGACTTTTCAAACTGATCATACTGGTTCCAGAGTGTGCTGGTTTCCTGATTGGGGACGCAGATGGCCTTGTGGTAGGCCTTGCGGAGCAGGTCCATCTTCTGTTGATCTTGCCATCCAGACCCTCCAGCATTTCCAGGGCTCGAGCGAATAAATTGAATATACTCGGCATAGATGGCTCCAGCGTCCTTATCGACGCCGACATGTTGAAAGGCTAGATCATAAGCCGCAGTGATGATTCTCCTTGCCTGGCCCGTGGTATCTGTAGTCAAGGGATTCCGCCGACGAACATAATCCAGATATACGGTCCAAAGTCGGACATCGGGAATAGTCAAAAGGGTCCGGCTGAAGATCTGTTCTAAACGGAAGAGCTCATTGAGCTCCGCTTCCATATTCGCATATGCGACCCATTGCTCGGCCTATAATAGGATTAGCCGACAGGGTCCCGCTGGCGAGTAAATCCAGCGACACTCACCGAGAAAGGAAACACTCTCAAGAAGCGCTCATAGACGTCGCGGGCATTGTCGATCCTATTGCGGCTTCTGTGTTCGTTAATCAACTCCAGCCAGGCAGGCATATCACCTCGAGGGTCCTCCTTGATCCTGTCCTCCAGTATGCCAATGCGATCGTGAGGCAGGCGACCCTTGGACGTGGAGGGAGATTCCGGCTGGGGAGTAGCTGCATTGCTCTCCTGCGCGCTGTCCGGCGGTAGAGTACGCGTGTTGTACAACTCCTGGCCCGAAGCCACAGACGCATCATTTTTAGAAGCAGCAGGGAAAGAGCTATTAGGGACATTCTTGACGCTGGCAGACTCCTGCGCAGACTCATCCAATGATACATCAGGGGTAGAAGTAGCTTCATTTGCATTTCCTGAAATGGGTTGCGAAGGTATAGTATTCATGTCCTCGACACCTAGTACAGCCGGCGGCTCATAATCATCTGCATCACCCGCATCATCCTCATCCTCATCCTCAACCACAAACCCCCCAATCGTCCTGGTCTTGGGCGGAACAGAAGCCCCAGTGGCAAGGCCAGATGTTGATGCCTGAGACTCAGCTCGGGAAGGTGTTTGGGAAGGGTAGGTATTGCCAGCTTGCTGACTAGGGTCTGTTTCGGGAGCAAGGGAAGAAGAAGACGGAGATGAAGAAGAGGTCTGGTCTGGTGGAGGGGTGGAATTGGAAGGAGGAGCAACGGAAGGAACATTTTCAGTTTGCTTGGAATCTGTCTCGGAAACCGAATACTGATCTGGCAGTGTTTTTGAAGGGTCATAATCATCTGAATCTGAACTATCTGCACCTTGCTCTTCAACAGCCTTATAGTCCACAGAGTCCGCATTCATTGCCTGAGCCTGGAAAAAGGCGTTCTCAGCATCATCTTCAGCCATGACAAAAGGATGTGGTCTCGCTCGCGATAAGGGTCAAAGATTCAGACTACCTGTGAAGAGTGGCAGGTTAGCGACTGGACGTTGGGAAAGAGGGGAGTAAGATCGAGATGACTCTTAAGGGAATCGTACGGAGAAGGGTGTGTGTGTGTGTCAAGCGGGCGGTGCTGCCAACTGCCTGCCAACCCAGAGTAATCCGGAAAAGACAAAGGATCGACACAAATCCTCTGGTTTGGAGCGTCAGAGGGGAGCCGAGGTACAAAGAATAAAAGAGAAAAGCTGCAAGCGAGTATCGTTCGGGCAATAAGAGAAATCCTCCTGGTGGATCTCACAGGTATCACACCGATGAGATGAGGTGCAGTTGCAGTGGATTCTGGGCTGGAGCTTGTGGCAGAAGCTGCGGCTGTCACGCATTGGGCGATAGGTAGCACGTGATGAGCTGTAGGCGGTGAGCGCGAAAGATGCGTCGCCCGTCGCCCACACGCGCCCGGCGGCGCGTCGCCGATCCTTCTTTGCGGATGTTTAATTGACTGCCAATTTAGTTGGTTCTTCTGTAGTTAGTTGTCGGCCTTAGCACTGCTGCTGCTACTACTACCACCACCACCACTACCACCACTACCATAACAACCACCACCATTCGGTACAGACAATACTGGCTAACGGTCTCGCCTCCATTTATCCCTCCAGTTCTCCTCCCCACTTCTCTTTCTCTTCCTCTCTCTCCCCCTCCCCTCTGTCTCCCTCTCTCCACCCTCCCACCCTCCCTTCCTTTCCCAAATAAAACTAGAGCCATTCCTCTAGCACTGTGTTTGTTTCTCTCTCATCTTTCATAAATCTTTTTTTTAAACTCACCACCCTTTCATCCGATACTCCCCTCCTCAAACCCAAGCCCTCGTTAAGGCTTCACGACCGCCGTCCCATACCACCATGTCGGTCGTCTCTCTCCTCGGCGTCAAGATTGTCAACAATCCCGCCCCCTTCACAGCGTCCTACCAATTCGAGATCACCTTTGAATGTCTTGAACAACTTCAAAAAGGTAAAATCTTCCTCCATTATCTACAAACGCAGCCGCTAAACGTCCCCGATGAATAGATCTGGAGTGGAAGCTCACCTACGTCGGCTCTGCCACCTCGTAAGCCCGCCCTCCTCCAAAACCCACCTATTCCAACACTCCCCCCAGATCTCTAACCCTCAGGTGCCAGCTCCGAATACGACCAAGAGCTCGACTCCCTACTCGTGGGCCCCATCCCCGTGGGCGTCAACAAGTTCATCTTCGAAGCCGACCCGCCAGACCTCAAGCGCATCCCTACCTCGGAGATCCTGGGCGTCACCGTCATCCTCCTCACCTGCAGCTACGATGGCCGGGAGTTCGTCCGGGTGGGATACTACGTGAACAACGAGTACGATTCGGAGGAGCTCACCGCGGACCCGCCCGCCAAGCCCATCATCGAGCGCATCCGTCGCAACATCCTGGCGGAGAAGCCCCGTGTCACTCGATTCGCGATTAAGTGGTAAGTTGTTCCATGGCTCATAAACCCTTTACCCGGGCTCATCGCTAATGATTCCGTGCCAGGGACTCGGAGGAATCCGCCCCCGCCGAATACCCCCCGGACCAGCCGGACGCCGACCTCGTCGACGACAGCAACACCTACGGCGCGGAGGAGGCAGAGCTGGAGGCCGCCCTCGTCAAGGAGCTCGAGGAGGCGGAGCGCACGGATCCCTCCCGCAGCGAGGACCAGGACATGGAAGGTGGGGAAGCCACCGCCGGGGACGAGGAGGACATCTCCGACGCGGAGAGTGAAGACATCGAGGACGAGAGCGACGATGACGACGAGGAGCTCGACGAGGAAGAGGGCGGCGACGGCGACGAGGACATCGAGATGGGCGATGACTCGGAACCCAAAGACGAGGCGGCCGGCGGCGCCAGCAACAACCCCACCACCCACCATCAGCCGGAACTGATGGTTCACTAAATTCATTTCCTGTTGCTTTGAACCATTCTGATCGAACTGTGTGTGTGCGTGTGGGCTTGGGCGTGAGAGTCGGTATATTCTGCTTTTTTATTTCCAACTTGGTATCCTTCGAAATGATTTTACGATTGGGTTTGCGACATGCTTCGTCTCCTTCTTCTTTCATGATACATTCTATCAGATCATATTCCCTTCCAAACCAAAAAAAGGTTCCGCAGTATTTATTGACATAGAAAGAACCAAGCCATAATTTATAACCAAACTTCCTCAAGAACTCCCTTTCAAGCACCTCGAACCCAACCCTTCCAGACCCCCCGAAAAACCGAATAAAATTCAACCCTGTACGGACTGTACATTCCTCCCACCGGACATAAAACAAAACCCGCTTCAACAGAAAAGCAAGGAGAAGATCAACGGGAGGGGGGGGCTACGTACTGTACCCGTGGCAACTCCTCAACCCTCAACCCCTGACATCGGAACCACGCAAGGCTGAAGGGAGGGAGGGGGGGTCTTAAACCATAGTGCTGTGCCGTACATGAAGTAGTTCAGGGAGGCTCAGTTCCTGTGTATGTGTACAGTACAGTAAAGCGTAGAACCCATTGAGGTTACCCCCCCCCTTCTCCCACCCGCCGTCAACTTATCGTTGAGGCTTCTAGCGGTAAGGAATTTCGTTACCTTGGGAGACTGATGCTAGTTTCTGGGAGTTGATGGGGTCAATTGCGTGAGAGGCAGTGTGAAAGGACTCGAACTAAAGGAGAGGATTGGGCGAGATGTGCGGTGAGAGTTGGGAGTGAAATGGAGGGAGAAGTGAAGACGGTGGGTATGTAAGTAAGGGTACTCCGTACAGTACTCTGAAAGGCAGTGCGTTTCCACCGTAGTATGCTATGCATGTAGCTGGCAATCGGCGAAGGAAGACTATGTGGCCTTCGTGCTTGAGGTAGGGTTGTAAATCTCCGATGGGAAAGTGGACGCGTGGGCCGGGCGGTATAGTAGTCTGTACGTTGTAAAATTCTCCGGTTGTCGGAGTGCACGCGACTTTGACCTCAAGTATTTGGAACATGTGTGGTCGGAGGCAAATCCGCCAGGATAGGTACAATTCTTAGTATGTTCGATGCACTACACAAGCTTCTCGGCAATATTTGAAAGTCATCTATTCATGAAACTGTTCCTTGCTGCTAAGGAACACAAACATCAACCAACGCCGACAGAATTTGGGTATGAATACGTAGAGCCCAACATCAGGTTATTGGGAAGCACATTTCCTTTCTCAAAGGGTGAAGTCGATGACCAGGAAAGCGGTTTAGAGACCGAATTTGGAACTGAGGGCTGTGGTTTGTCAGTTTGACCCAGCATATTCTCAGACCAAGGTGTGTACATACCGCCCATCACAGCCTTCCGCTTCTGGGTCTGGACGAATTTGTTGACGTCTCGAGCCCAGTTGCTGCTGCTCTCTTCCAATCGTTCCATCTGGTCACCAGCTAAATTGAGTCGCTCTGTACGCTCTGTGACCTGACGCTGCATGTAGGACCAGTATCCCTCCTGGTTGCCTGAGTCTGAGGACTGGTTTGTGTTTGTCCTGCCTTCTCTGAATGCCTTTCGACGCTCCTGTTCGTCTAACCGCATCTGTTCCTGCATGCGCTTTGAGGGTGGGCGATCGGGACCACCGACTGGGAGATGCTGTTAGTTTGTCAATCCCGAGGTAGGGCTATAAGGGTAAACTCACTCAGTAAGTCCATGTCGGCCGGCGAGATGTACTGCGTGCCGGAGATCCACTGGATATTCGTGATTGTTGGGCGTGGTGGCACGACTGCTTGAGGGTTGTACAATTGGTCCTCAGAAGGTCGTCTGTATCAAGGATTAATGACTTGTGTACCAAGAATAAATGCACGCGGGTCGACTCACAGGCCAGTTCCTGCTCCCCAGACATTGAACAACCCCACTTCTGAAGGACTCGTCCAGACCATGACGGTACCATTAGAGGAGACACTAGCATCGGCAAGTCGTCTCATGTCGGCGATTTGATTGATCGGGCTGCAACCGATCTCTTTGAGACCGGGAATAGAGAAAGCCCGGGTGTTTCCGTCACCAAAAAGACCAACAAGGCTATAGCCGCGGCCCTCGATCTTGACTACCGTAGCAGAATCACAGAGGTAATCATCCCAAGACCTATGAGCGCCCTTGGATGTCGCAGGCTTGAAAATTCGACATCCTGACACGGTCACGGCAACCACTACTCCATTCACCCTGATACCGTTGCGGAGGCCTCCAACAGCGTTGGGAGAAGCCGAAGCAGGATTGCCGCTATCAGCGTTGATTGGAATGATGTTGATGACCTTATCATCCAGTAAAGTCGCACCAGCAAAGACTGCCGAGTAGGTACCATTTTCCGCAGGCAAGATTTTAAAAGTCGCCAAATTACCTTTACTGGTACCTACAAAGCAGCAGATACTTGAGTAGTCTAGAAGAACAATCAGTCATCCAGGCGCTCGTGAACTGTTTCTGAAAACGGCTTACCTTCTCCTTCGAGCGTAAGCACACCGAACTCGATACATGTGGGCCACTCTGGAGAGGGAGACTCGGAGCTGCGCTGTTTGAAGAAGCTGCTCCTTTTGTTTGCCTTCAGCAACTCCGAAAAATGGGCTGTATGGATGAGCGCCGGCCCACGCAAGTCAATAATTGCTAGGCTTCCGCTCTCGAAACCGACCGCGACAAAACCGACCTGGCTGTGCTTCAAAGCAGTCACTGGTCCGTGTTGCATGTTGAGGAGAGTGAGGGGAAGAACGCCTTGCTTGAGCCCAGGATCAACCCGATGAGTGATCGAGGTCAACTTACCGGGCCCTTCGTTGGCACCTGGGGGCTGCTCACTACCGAAGTTCTTGTTGCTTCCCCAGCGGAAGACAACAAGCTCACCAGTTCTGAGACCTACAGACAGCTCACCCGTTGAACCACTTAGAGACATCTCGGTGACTTCGACGTTGCCCACACGACCTACTGCGCGGGCCAAGTCCACTTGTATGATCTCTCCGTTTTCAACTTCGTCATCAATGCCTCCGTCCCAGATACGAATAGTGCCATCCGCATGGGCGGTGGTGATGATGTTCCGATCTTCGAAACGTTTAAGTGCTTTTTTGGCCTCTGCGCCACCCAAGAGGAACTTAGGCCCTTGTGACCTGCGTTCTTTCAAGCCCAACCAAGCAGAGCGATCAACTGCGGTTAATGTTGCCTTGGTCACAAACGGGTGCACGAAAGACAGGTATGGATGAAGCATATTTGTAGGTGTGATTGGGTGTCCAGTCGGGAAGCTCATGGTGATCAGTTCTCCCGAGGACAAGCGGGCAATCAGGGCAATGGGGTCATGGGCGCCACCAAAATAAGGAGTGCTGCGTGGAATAGGGCAAAAGTCAACCACCTCACCTCCGGGAGGGGTGGGTAGGACCGAGACACGTCTTGGAGATTCGAAGTACTTCGAAATCATAGGCCAGGTAGACGTTTGATAGTTGGGAGTAGGACCCAGATCCAAGAAGGTAAGGCCCTTGAGGGACTCGGCCTTCGGCCGACCACCAGCAATCAAAAGCCCACTGTCATCACCGTTGTCCTTGACACACCACGCAACGTGCGTGATCGGATCTTTGAATCCAGTGGCTCCCGCTGAAGAAGGCCTTTCAGGGCTGACGCCTGGCTGATCGACATTGGGGGTGTCAATGGACCGAGCCATCACCTTGCGACCGTCCTTCGAGTCCCAGAAAACCAGGCTGTTGTCGTCATGAACAGTCAAAACGAAGATACCATTCGGGTGCCAAATTGCCTGGGTCAACCTGGGTCTGCGCAAGTCCGAGATCGGTACCTCCGCGTTCCCACCCAGCGCGCCTGGAGGCACTTCATATTCGAAGTATTTCTGTGCGACGTTTTGTTTGAAAGAGAAGGTCACTGCGCCATCCGGGTACCCGACCAAGATCTTGCCGATATCACGAGGAGAAAAGGCGAGACTAATGACCGGGCACATACGCGTCCGGGCATTGCGTTGAGCCCACAGATTGGGCACCCTGAAGGGCGTCAAAGTTTCACGGTCCAGATCGTATGCAATAATATCGCCTGGTATATGTCATCAGAAAAGGAATCACACGTGAATCCTAGCGGAGGCCGTACCATTCTGCAACCCAATGAAAGCATAGTCGAGACTCGGATCGGTCAATAACGCACTCGCATGACTCGGGGGCGCGTACGAAACCAATGTCTTGCCGGTCTCAAGGGAAAAGATCGTGATCTCACTTTTCGAGTCGACACTAACGAGCTTGTCGGCGCAGAACTGAATGTGTTTCGCAGAGGCTTTGCGAGGCAACGAGAAGATGACCGAGACGCGCCGTTGACCGAAGACGTAGATCTGACCATGTCCAAACTGCGTATCACTGGTTCCGACTGCAAGGAGGGACTGAATCGGGTCGTAGGCAATAGCACTGACTTGGGAGTTGATACCGCAGCGAGCGAACTGGTAGATTGACAACGATTTATTAGCACATACGATTCAATAGTGTAAGGATATCAGTAGGATTCAGTGGTGGGAAATGTGGAGGGTATATCCGGCACAGACGACGTACATCATCGAGAGCGAACAGGTCCGGCGACAACCCTTCGGAAAAGTCCTTTTGGATGCCGGCCTGTTTCCCTCTCAGGAAGTGCGCCATTCTCACAGAGGCGACTGATCGAGAATGGGCAGAGAATTCTGAACGTGGGAAAGAGATAGGATATAGAATAGAAAGAACAGGAACAAAGACCAGCGGTGACCCCACGGAAGTAGGATCAAGGCAAGCGCAAGGTCATTAATTACCGCGGGGAAGAAAAGCAAAGGTTCAAGGTTGACTGACGGCATTAAGGCTGGCTGGCAGGCTGGCCGGCTGATTGATTGATTGCCTTATGGGCGGCGGTCCGGGGCGGGGCAAACTGGACCACCCGCCCGCCCTGCACTAGCCGCTCCCAGTTACGGTGCGATAACAAGTACTGAGTAAACATGTGATGATCAACTACGGAGTACAGATAGTAGGTAGTCACTATTGCTAGGTCTCGTTTCCCTGTCATTGCTCAACTGCTGGCTAATTTCCCCATATTTGCAAGCAAGATATAACTTAGCTATCGAGTAAACGTGGTTAAAAGCTGCTATCCGATCTCACATTCTGGCTTCAATAAGTTTGTCTTGTATGAATCACTTAGGCAGCAACAATATGTTCTTCTTGGTCACTGCCAAGGAGCTGCCCGGCGCAAAACAAATCAAGCCAAACCGTACTCCAGTAGATAATCTTGACGTCCACCTTCAAATCACCGAAAGACTTCCTCTACAGTAATAATTATTCATAACTGGCTTTTGTGAATACCGACCAATATGCGATTTGGGGTGCTGGCTACCCACCTAGATCGTGGGGTTCCGATCAAGGGTCTTTGGAAAGTTTGCACTCTTTATATTTCTCGCTATATACAAACAAAGGACAGTCTAAGCACACGAGCATTCCAGTCATGCAATCATCATCCCGACCCGCTGATGGTCAGGAGTGTAACAACCGAAGAGAACTGAGCTGATAGTTGCCAACCAGTTTTCATCATCGAGTCCCTCTAATGGCATTCAATTCTGCCAAGGTCGACGTTAGCCGTCTCCTCGCCTCCATCTCAGCCGTCATGTCTTTATCGCGATAATAGTGTATTGTGATGTTGTGAACAGAGCGGTAGCAAGCATAACTGAACCGATCATTAGCTTCATTCCACGATACTGGGCGGGTGCGGAGTCACCTACAGTAATTGACGAGTCACCTGTGACTCGCTCTTTGTAAGTCGAGTGCCGAAGCCTTCGAGCAAGGCAGGCGAAGGGTCTTCGAAGACCTCTGCCATATATATGTCACCCCATAATGCATGGCCAAAGCCCGTCACTCCAGACAGTTTTCTGGACGCCGGATCCAAAAATACTTGTGACGGCCGACCTAGGCCAATCACTACCAACCGTGGGAGGGTGATTTCTTCCAGTGCATACGACAGGCGGCGAACGTGATGCCTAATCTCCGAATAGGGGAGATGAACAAAAGCATCTTCTGAGTCTCGCAGAATGTCCTCGAAGAGCATGACAAAAGCGTCCCTCCAGGAGAGCTTTCCCCGCCCACAGGCCACTTGCTCAAGCGAGCCGAAGGAGCTCGAAAGGGGCTGTCCGATCTGCTGGACCAGCGATCCCAGATCTTTGTCCAGTTTTCGGCGTTCTTGCGTCGTAAGTCGGGGTCCCATCTCCTTTAAGGTCGAACCAGTGACATAATGTCTGACTAGGAAGGCAGACCCGAAAGGGCCACCTTGAAAGCCATAATGTACGAAAGATGGCACATATGGAGTTGCACTCTGCCCAAGAATGGACAGGGCTCGTGCTTCCGTCTCAAGCAGGAGCTGTTCTCGCCGCAGAAGAGGTGTTGTTGATCGAGGTGGACATTTCAGAAGCCATTGGTCTCCATTTGAAAGTATCAGGAGACTGACAAAATGTAGATGCCCCTCCAGGGGATATACCTCTCGAATCTGGACCGAAGGCGGAAAGTGCCGTTGGAGTACTGAACCAATGGTATTTGTACTCGGGGGTTCAAGCTTGCGAGTTGGCGAGACAGAGAAAGAAGGGGACATGATGGAAGAACAGGGCGGAATGAACGAAGAAAAGCCAACAAGTCCCATCAGGTTCTATAACTTTCTTATAACATCGTAAGCGTCGTGATCTAGGATATCGATCTGACTCCGCGCAAACATTGCAGCTTTTAGTAAGAGGGGTGCGAGAGGGGTATCGAATCGCGCCCGAGTCCTTTGGCAGGCAGAGGAACCGGAGATGTTCTCCTGGCAATGGGTGGCAGACAGTCGACGGTTAGGTTAAGCCAGGACCAACATGCTTCGTTGGCCAGAAAACCTGCTGTTGTCCTGCAAGATTTACGGTATCTCCTCGCTTGATTAACCGGAATATATACAACTCTGTGCTGCAACCAGGGGCGCAGGAGACTGGCAAGAGTCTCCGGTTTTGGGGGCGTACTTCCCCATTGGAGCAGATTAAGCGAGTTGGGGGATTTGCGTAGAGCGTCCATGGTGAATGGAAGTAGATGTAAGTCCGAAAGACTCCAACACGATAGAGGAGTTAGTAGGTACTCCGTACTGGAGTAGTAAAGAGAGAGGGTCTGAGACTCTTGAGTCTGAGTAAGGTTCGGCCTCGCGGGCTCGCCTAACTCTCCCGCTCTGAGAAAGGCGCCATGCAGGTGAAACGGGCCCCGCCCAATCATAGTACCGCTTTACCGAATGCAATATCGCGGAAGGATCTGCCGGCTCCAGGCTTTCGCTTCTTTCGCTTCAATGTTGATGCGTTGGAGTTACTGGACACTTGATCGTGATGCTAAACAACGATCAGGAATCTATCCCCGGCTCTAGTCTTTGCAATGGGGTCGAACTCGCTAGTCTAATGCAAGCCCATACCTCGCAATGACTTATGGTTGGCTCGTCCGGTTCATCCAGAATACTACGGTGTCACCAGTAGGTTGGACTATATTAATGTACACATGTACACGCCGCACTAGTAGGACTTGATCAGCCTGGGCAAGGGTGACAGCAATGTTTCCATTCGGTCGGGTTTTTGTGAAGCTACTGGTATTCTCCTAAACCCCAACTTCACTCGACCTGTCAGGTAGAACGTCCCTTGCGTGCTATGGGCCCCTCCCTGCCTGCAACATCGCTTTGCATGTCCATCATTGATCTAGTCTAGTCGGAGACGGACCATCGCTGCAAGTTTGGTTCAGGCTCCCTGGGGCGTGAGCTTCACCGATTGCCCCATGTTTGTGACCCTTCGATCTAACAGAATGTGGAATGTGGACTCGCCGGCTTGTGGATGCTGTTAGAGGCGGAAAAACCTTCGGTTGACTTCCCTAACTTGGGCAACTCACGGCTTGTTGACAATGTTTTAAAACCATTGACAACTATTGGAATCACTATTCTCTAGACAAATTCCGCATAAAAAACTTATATTTGACTCACTACATCTGCAATTACATCCCGATGTATCCGAGAGCGTTGGCTCTGTGATGATAAGACGTATGCGCAGCTGTTTTGCTCGATCAGTCCCAAGCAACCTGAAAGCTAAGCCAGCATGATTCAGTCAAACCAGTGCAGTCACTGCGACCTGACGCGTCCTCCTCGTATTGAATGCATCACTCATCACCGTGACTTCTGGTCTACGTACCAGAGACATAAGCTTACGTCCAATACGAGTCCAGGTAAGGCGTCCGATTTCGTTGTTGTATCCGTCCGGAACATCCCAGCGGTTTCCGAGCATCTCCCAACTATTGAGATTCACCTGCCAGAGCCGACGCATTTTTGTAGTTCAAGCAATAGTCATTTGTTTCTTCCAAAATCGTTTTCTAGAGATGTGTCCGGGATGTTTCGGAGAAGATCGTTCAACAGACCTGTCTGATATGATACGATGCTCGCTCTAGACTTCGGAAGGCTCAGCAGCCTGCGCTGCAGCAGTTGGAGTATATAGTTCCGCCAGATTGTACTTTTTCAACTGCTCATAGTCGCTGCCCGCGACACCGATACCAATAACATTCTGTGGCATGAAATGTTAACCATGAGGACCTGAAATGCATTGTTTTCTCAAGGCTTACCTGAATAACCATGACGTTGATGAGTATATCATAGTTCTTGAGATCGACAGGATGTTCAGGGCCAACGACATCAGCAACTGTCTTGATGACCGTGTCCCTGCTGAACTTTTTGTTGCTTCTTACGACTGGCCGGATGGCGTACTGGAGATGTCATGGTTTAGTACATTCTCGAGGGGTTTGAAGCGAGGGTCACCGCAGCAACAACAACGTACCTTCTTTGGAGGGCCTCCAGAATGAAAGTGAGGTTTGAGGACATCGCGCGCGAAAGACTCCAATTCGACACTGAGAGTCTTGCGAACCGACTTGACAGGAGTCATGCGCTGAATGTACCGAGAGCGCTTCTTTTCGGGATGAGCGTGCGCTTCAAGGCACAATTGATGTACCATTTGCTCTGGATCAATGGACTTGTCAAATCGAATGAACGATACTGGCAGAATTAGAAATGGACAATATCAACAATTTCATATGAAGGTCAAACGCACAACATGGTAAGTCCATTCGGATTGCTTGGAACGGACGAGACTTGGCTTGGCTGGGCTTCAGCCCTTCGACTTCCTTTTTGATCATCGCCTCGATGTCATCTTCATCTGAGTCGGACTTGTCTCCGTCGTTGACTTTCTCAGACCCCTCGATGCTCTGAATAACAGAGCATATCAGACAGTGTTCACGGCTCTTAGATGGGAGGGATGCCAGCGACAGAGAAGCGGGGAAGACCCCGCTCAACAGAGCCGGGATAATACGTACCTGTGTAAACAAATCCACAGCCTCCGACATACACTTGGACTCCTTTCCGATGTCGCAACTCACAAAGACACCCCAATCACCACCTTCGATCCCTGCTTTATTGCCTGGCTTGCGCCATTGACCACCACCACCACCACCACCCTGAGTCGTGCGTTAGATAGGTGTTCAGGAGAATCATGAAGTCTATGGGCTGACTTTGGTGGCAATGAGTTCCAAGGGTGCGAACCTTTCGTTTCTTAGACGACTGAGCCGACATGTTATCAGGCATGGACCGTTTTCCCTTTCCAGCCATGCGCAGAAGCCTGACACTGGATGGTCGTCGGTGTTTCACGAAGGATTCCTCCCGCCAACGAATCAATCACCTTGCTAGAGGTAGGAGCAGTGCGGAAGCGAGCCTTGATCGCTAGAATTACGCGTGATAATGAGATTCTAGATGCATGCATCACCTTTCCTACCTGGAGAGAGCGATAAGCAGGAAAGATCAAGGCGGCGGGGCATCCAAAATTCCATTTTGGGACTAGCGCGGGAAGAGCAACAGCGAGATCGTCATTCCACTCCGGCTCGAACCATTCACCATTGACTGGAAAGGTGGAGTGATTGACGGCGTGTTCTCGGCCGGACGGGTCACTGCAACGTGCGAGTATGCCCGTCCGTTGTCGTACTTTACCATCGAACCACTGGACTTTCCGGTCCGACATCGTGCCAGGGTCAAATGCATTCCTATGGCTAGCCTAGACTACAGCCCGCGGTCATGTCTCGGGTAGCCCGGCGTTCAAGCACCTGAGAGTGGATATCGATAGATAGTACGGTACTTGTAGTCAAAGGGTGGTAGCACGAGAGTAATTCCAGCTAATAGCTATGCCCATTCAGCATGACATCACGCTATCTTCATGACGTACAACCAACCAACTCTCAGGGCCAGAACTCTTTTCAACTACTATTTATGCTCCCCCTCCTCCGCGTAAACATTCAACCTTCCTCTCATACACTGTTCATCCTTTTCCTCATATCTTCACTTAACTTCATCTACTGTTCATCTCGTTGGCTTTCGCGATGACCACTAACGAGATCGTCACCCGAGAGCTCAAGAAGCCTGTTACTGTCGCTGAGTATCTCTTCCACCGTCTTCACCAGGTGGGGGTTCGCTCAGTGCACGGGGTTCCCGGTGAGTTGCCTACTATAAGCCTGGCTTTCTGCTCTCCGTCTAATCTCGTCGCACTTCTTCAGGCGACTACAATCTCGCAGCTCTAGACTATCTGCCAAAGTGTGGTCTCAACTGGGTGGGAAATTGCAATGAGCTCAATGCTGGTATGACTACCATCCTGGAACTCGCACCTTCACTATTCGTGGTGTCAGACTAACAAGATTGCAGGTTACGCTGCGGATGGCTATGCCCGAGTCAACGGCATTAGTGCCTTGATCACTACTTTTGGAGTTGGCGAGCTCTCAGCCCTCAATGCCATTGCTGGCGCTTACTCCGAGTTCGTGCCTATCGTTCACATCGTGGGTCAGCCCAGCTCTCAATCCCAGAAAGATGGCATGTTGCTCCACCACACTCTCGGAAACGGCGACTTCGACGTCTTCACCAAGATGAATACCGGGGTCTCCTGTTCAATCGCCCGCCTGACCGAGACTCTCGAGGTTGCAACCCTGATTGACAACGCCATTCGCGAATGCTGGATCCGCAGTCGTCCCGTCTACATCACGCTCCCTACCGATATGATCACGAGGCAGGTTGAAGGCGAGAGGCTCAATACGAAGCTGGATCTGTCCCTTCCCGCGAATGAAACCGAGAAGGAAGATTACGTGGTCGACGTTGTTTTGAAATACCTCCATGCCGCAAAGAAGCCCGTCATTTTGGTTGATGCCTGTGCTATTCGCCACCGTGTTCTTGATGAAGTTCACGACCTGATGGAGGCTTCCGGTCTGCCCACCTTCGTGGCTCCAATGGGTAAGGGCGCCGTGGACGAGACGCGACCCAACTATGGAGGAGTCTACGCCGGAACGGGCTCGAACGCAGGTGTGCGCGAACAGGTCGAATCGTCGGATCTCATCTTGAGCATCGGTGCCATCAAGTCTGATTTCAACACCAGTGGATTCACCTACCGCATCGGACAGCTCAACACCATCGATTTCCACAGCAACTACGTGCGCGTGCGTTACTCCGAATACCCCAACATCAACATGAAGGGGGTCTTGCGCAAGGTCATCCAGAAGCTGGGTAAAGTGAATGCTGAGCCGGTTCCGCACCTATCCAACGCACTGCCCGAGGAAGAGAAGACTTCTTCAGCCACCGAGATCACGCACCAGTGGTTGTGGCCCAAGGTCGGACAATGGCTTAAGGAAAATGACATTGTCATCACCGAGACGGGTACTGCGAACTTCGGTATCTGGGAGACCCGATTCCCTGCCAATGTTACCGCTATCAGCCAGGTCCTATGGGGTAGCATCGGATACTCGGTCGGCGCCTGCCAGGGTGCTGCTCTGGCGGCTAAAGAGCTCGGCAATCGCCGGACAGTCCTTTTCGTTGGCGATGGTAGTCTCCAGCTTACTGTGCAGGAGTTGAGCACCATGATCCGAAACAACCTCAACCCCATCATGTAAGCGCGCTTCCCTATCCTTCTCTTCGCTACATACACTGACACACGCAACCAGTTTCGTCATCTGCAACAACGGCTACACCATTGAGCGATACATCCACGGATGGGACGAGAGTTACAACGACATCCAGCCCTGGGACCACAAAGCCCTGCCGACCGTCTTCGGAGCCAAGGACAAGTACACCGGCCACAAGGTCACCACTCGCGACGAACTGAAGCAGCTCTTCGCGAACGAGGAATTCAACTCGGCACCGCACTTGCAGGTAAGTTTCAATTCAAGTCCAAGAGACCTTAGTCCACAGTCCACCGCAATACTGACCACACACCACAGCTGGTTGAGCTTCACATGCCTAGGGATGATGCCCCCGCCGCGCTGAAGATCACCGCCGAAGCGGCCGCTGCGAGAAACAAGTAATGATAATGACCACGAACCGCCAATCCAGCAAGTCGCCCGCCGTCTTTCCGCTCCACCATCCGTCGTTTGCATTGGAAAAGAAATAACCTTGATTCGAGCAAGCAGCTTCACAGGCCGGGGGCGTGACGAGATTGACCCAGATCCAGCCAATTCAAAAGGCTTAATGGACACAGCCAATTGTATTAAGAAAGCTGTGGTTCCGTTACATTGATTTTCAATATGTATTTTAATGATAATGACAATAATTTAAGAGGACTTAATATTGGTTTCTCCGTTATAAAGTTACATTGTAGACGGTGGGCTTCTATTACCGTTTGGAGGAACTTTTGGGTGATGACTTATCGGGAGTCGTCCTTCCAAGTTGTTCGAGAACCTTTCCCAATCTAGTCCACGTCTCTGCAGCCATCTCTCATCTACGCATGTTTCGTCCAGAGAACTGCCTGGGCCATACTTCCTTGCCAGCCGAACATGACCGAATCTCCTTACATACTGTCCTTCCAACCGAGAAAAATGCGGGCTAGAACAGCCCGATCAATTGTCCGGGATCCCCGCTTCGTATAATCTTCCAAGACTGTGGTGACGTTATTGGTCGTATTCCGTCTTACAGACAGGGCGTTACGAACGCTATGGGCATCATGCAATTATTTACAAAGGACCTTCCCCGCAATCACGCATTCAGCCGAGGGGCTAAGAGAAGGTCTAGGTTACCATGTCAATGGAATATAAGCAGAATGTAGAAACTGCCCCTCACCACCTTGTCAACCTCTTCGCGCGCGTCATTCACCTCGCCTACTGCTCTGCTGCACTGACACAAACTCAAAGCCGCGAGTTCTACTCTTCTGGATTTAGACACACGCGTAAGACAGAAAATGAGCGTCAGCACCAACCGCAACATCATCATCGTGGGCGTCGGGTCCTCCATGTCCCGGTCGCTGGCCATGTGGCTCGCCAGTCTCGGGTGGAACATCGCCTTGATTTCCCGCACGGAGCAGAGCCTGGCGTCCATCGCCGAGGAAGTCCGCTACGCGGCCCCGGACAAGAACACTGTGAATGTGGTCCACCATACAGCGGACGCCGGCGACCCGGCCAGCTTGACGTCCGCCCTGGATTGGTGCCTGCAGCAGCTCGGCGGAACCCTCGACGTCCTCAGCTACAACGCCGCGCGGGTGGCGGAATCCTCCGTCGCGGATCTCACGCCCGAGGAGCTGGAGCTGGATTTCCGCGTCTCCGCGGTCGGGACGCTGGTCGCCGGCCAGTGGTTCCGGGGCCATGCCCGGGTGGAGGCGGTCTCGCGAGGCGAATGGCCCTTGTTCCTGGTCACGGGCGGTGTCCTGGACAGGCACCCGGACCCGAGCGTGGCGTCTTTGAGCATCGCGAAGGCGGCCTCGCAGACTGTCAGTCGGATCTTCGCGCAGGTCCTGCCTGAAGATGCTCAGATCTTGGTGGGCATGCCGCTGGTGACGGGTCGCACTGTTGACCCCTCCACCGGAGAGTACTATGAGCAGTATCGTCCCGATAAGATCATTCAAGCGCTCTTCCGGCCGTTCTTCGAGGAGAGAGAGCAGAGGCCGAATGGGTCAGAAGGCTGGTTGGTGGAACGGCATCTGTGATCGCGAACGTGCCCCCGAGTCTGGAAGAGGATAGCCCCAGGAGAAGGGAGTTCGGTTAGGCCGGCCAGAGAGAGAGGCCAAACTCATCTCAAATAGTGCTCTGGGTGGGTTTCGATGTGAGACATGAGAACGCCTGGAATCAGACATTTCATTATAAGTGTCACTAGTCAAGAATGAGGTTTGCCGTCTTGAGTTACACCGTAATTGCCGGCTAGTGTTGAGTTAGCCAGCATTAGTTTCTTCATGGCGTTGATAGTTGATCCCTGGAGCAAAAGTGGTAGGTAGTATGAAGAAGGCATTGAAAGGGGGGGGGGGCGCATAAAATGAGCGTCTGAAACTTGTATAGTTCTAGCAATCATCCCTGGGATGGCACTAACTCTTTTCGGGCAGCCTGGCTTTGACCGGATTACGTGATGGATCTCGCTGTCATCTTGTTTCACCAACTCGATTTGACAGTGTCTCATCGATAAGGGCCCCTCAGATATCAAGATGTCAGCAGCTGAACCGAAGACAGTCTGAGACCCTGGGAGTCACTGCCAAGACTCAAAGAATGATGGCTGGGGAATGCAGAAGAATGAACCAGGCAAAATGCGACAGCTTATCGGACCACCACGTGATCGAGATGGGACGTTGAAGGGGCGCTAAGGCGGCCAGCGCATCAAAGCTCCTCTTCTACGAAGCCTGGAGCCTGGGCTGGGCCTGACTTACCCCATCGTTAATGGCAAGCGGGTTCTCTGGCTTGCTGAGGAAAGACATTTCATTTATCTCAAGGAACCATTCTAATGAGCAACTAGTGGTTTTTAATTTAAACGTGGGAAACTAATCTCTTGCAAATTGCTAGGCTAGTGGTATGTTTTTTAGCTTCCCGTGCCAATCTTCCGCGGCATCGTCCTTTCCTGCCCTTGCCCTTCCCCCTCCCCCTTCAACTAATGACAGACCTATTATCAGGGGGCTGATCATCCCAAATTTCCAAATTTCTCGAGCTGCGCTTAATTCTAACTCTTCAGCATCTTTTGAAATATAGTTCTTTCCCCATACCAGGATCGTGCTGTCTACTCGACTCACAACAACGTGCGCACGATTCTGCCCGCCCGCCCGCAACCTCACGAGATTCGATCTATCGAAGCCGATGGCCGCAGATACCTGCCGATTCTGCTTACGTACCCGATTTGGAGGCTAGCTGCGCATGATTGCAATCGTGCATCGAGATACCTCGCGTCCGTCTCCTTTATCTGCCTTCCCCTGAATACATCGCCAGTACTTCGTGTTCCCTGTGCGACCTGGTCGAAATCGCTTAGGGCCATTACCGGGCTTTCTGGGAGCATTGAGAATGCGGACTTTCCTCGATCATTGATCGCTGATGGTCCATATCTCTCGGCCTCAGTGACGTGCATAAACTCTCTCGCTCTCTCAGAGAGGGGCTTCCGAACAAGTAGTAGAACTTCTTAGAATTCTTGGTGCAGACTATCTGCGACTCGGCATCCGATCAAGATCGCTTCGTCGCAACGGTGATACCCAAGCACCGTCAAGATGGATGGTCAACGGCAGCAGCAATACATCCCGGTCCCTCCTCCTTCGGCGACGCAGCCCTCCCAGGCGCATATGATACCTCTACCGCCACCGCCGCCTCGATACGCCCCAACCCAATCCCAGAATGTCATGCCTCCTCCGCCCCCTGGGCCACCTCCTGGAGCAGGATACGGTGCATCCAAACTCACCAATCCTCAACTGCAGCACCAGAATACTTTAGGCTGGCAGCAACAGACCTGGGCCAGGCAGGCACTATCCCAAGGCTTCTTACCTCCCCCGCCGCCCCCTCCTATGGTCCCTACGAATCAATCGCCCTACGGCCGTCCCACTGCTCTCTCGATACCTTCCTCTACTGATACCCGAACATCTGCAACTTACGTCCCGCAACCGGGCTCCTTCGGACCGGGTGTCGGAATACCGCCGTTTGACGTGCATTCTGCTCCGGCCTACGAGAATTCAGGAACCATGCCATCTGTTGAACGACAGCGACTCCCCTCCGCTCAGACCTATGAGTATCCCACCGGGGAGTCATCCACATACAAACGGGACCCCAATGTACCTTCCACGCCGTCCTCGCGTACTCTCCCTTCGGCATTAGCAGTCAATGACGGCTTCCACGAACCAATGGTGCCGGGATTTGGGGCCACGACCTCCCAAAATCACGTACTGCAGCCTGCGCCGACAAATGAACTTACGAAGTCGCCTAGTCATCGTCATAATAATAGCAGCACTCTGCTCGGGGGCATGTCTCCCAACGAAGCGGCCGTTCAATGGCCACTCGACCGAGTTCTCCTATGGCTTGCGAGAAATGGCTTTTCGAAGGACTGGCAAGAAACCTTTAGGGCACTAGAAATCGAGGGCGCCGATTTCCTGGAGTTGGGACATGGCTCAAATGGCCGGCCGAACCTGGGAAAGATGCACAACGTCGTTTACCCTCAACTCGCAAAGGAATGCGAATTGAGCGGTACAGGCTGGGATCAGACTCGCGAGCGCGAGGAGGGCAAACGCATGCGTAAATTGATTCGCCAAATCCACGAGGATGGCAGCTATGATACAGACTACTTGATGCAGAGACGTCGAGATTCTCATCCCAACGCTGCTTTTGACGGAGGGCACGAAGCCTCCCCGAAGGTGCCCCATGAACCCCGCTCTGCCGGCCCATTCTCAGGAAGTGTCGCAAACAGTCCGAAATTCAAGGCATCCCAGCTGGTCCATAATCAGAGGCAGAGTACCCAGATGCGCTCTTTCACCACGCCCATACCCGCCAGCCATGACCCCACGTCATCCGATTATGGTAATAATGAAACCGGCACTATGTGGCCGCGATCAGACTATTCTAGGGCGGTCCTGTCAAGCATCGGTGGGGAACACCAAAGGCAGAGTCCTTCAATGTCCAGCGATGGTGGGACTTTCCAAGCTCCCATACGGCCCTATGAGGATAGCCCTAAAAGCGGCAGTCCGGCAACACAGCATGCCACCCTTGCGCAACCGGGACCATCCTCATCGACAGGTGATTTGAGTGTCAAATTTGAACACTCTCGTGGGAACAGCGCAGACTCCCTAACTGGGCGCCGGTACTATGAGTCTTACAGACAGGACAATGGAGTACGCCCCTCTCCCCAGGAATCCTATAATCGCCACTCTGGCGGAGACACCCCCTCATCATACCCGAAGGATCACCGAACAGGTCTTCTGAACTTTTTCAAGAAGCGAACCAAAGGAAGTGATTCCACTCACCCCTCTCCTGAAGAACAGTTCCTCGAGTCGCCAACAAGCCCTGTCAATACACGCCAGAATGGCTCTCACCTCCCCTATGCGAAGCCAAATTTTAGCACTAGCGATATGTCGCTGGGTGAACGCCCATCGTCTGCATCCATGTCGGATCATGAACGGCTGGTCTTGCGCCAGAAAACGCAAAAGGCCAAGAAGTGGACATTCGTTACTCTGGATGGCTGGAATTATCGGCTGGTGGATATTACTGAAATGGATTCCGTTGAGACGCTGCGTTCTGCAATCTGTCAGAGCCTTGGAATATCGGACTGGACTGCGGCCCAGATCTTCTTGACCGAGCCCGGCCAAACGGAACATGACGAACCTTTGAATGACACCAACTTGGCTCTATGTCGGAGGTCGAGGTCGGACTTTTTGGGCTCACTCAAATTATTCGTACGTGGATCGCACATGCAACTGGCCACCAATGGCTTCCCTCACTTTGCAGGGCTGGGAGTTTCTATCCCAGACAAAGCGACTGCTTCACCAACGTCTGCCCATCAAGTGCATAGAAAGCCACTGGATGAAGATGCCTTGAACAGGATCTCACCTCAAACTCAAAATAAGCCTACCTCACCACAAGTAGCTTCTTCACGGCAACAGCTGAAGGTGTCCTCTGCTAAGCTTCCACGTGACGCGTCGCAAGCTTCTATTGCAGCTTCTCCCGTGGACCATGCTGCGGACGGCGGAACAGCTGACGCCGAAAAGGCGGATTTGCTGGCTCGTCATGAGGAGCATATGCGCGAGGTCGAGCGGAAACAGCGAGCCTATCGCATCTCGAAAGTCCCGCCTATGCCGCAACCGAGGAAGGATGCCTACGGCGAAACCGGCTATAGGCGCGAAGGTGTTATTGATTTTGACTCTCCCCGCATATCGCCTTATGAAGACAAGAAATCCGAACCATTGGTCCCACTTCGCAAACCCCCGACGGCACCACATGAGTCAAGCACTCTCACGAAGGTCAACTCTTTAAGGAAACGGGACATTGATCGTCCTCGTGTCCAAGTTCCTGCGCAGACACACGGACTTGGAGCTGCTCTAGCTAGTGTTGGTAGGATCACTAGCGCTATTGGAACACCAATGCCATCAGTACCGCCAGCAGCGGGCTCTTTCAGCCCAACTAAGAATGTGGGAAGCAGTCCCGCCACAAATCATTCAGGTAGGTCCTATTGGTGCCTTTGCATGGCAACTTCTTCAGATGACGATGTATATGTGGCTCTGTCGCTGACATCTAGCAATAGACGAGGTGAAGGGAACATACCAGGATAGTCAAGCCACACCGACGGCACACAGTGTGCCATCACCAACCAAGGGCAACACTTCGCCCCCGGAGCCTAGGCCGGGCTTGCAGTCCCGTAAATCCTACGGACCTGAATTCGACTTTGAGGAGACGAAAGTCTCATTCCAACGCTCGCCCTTGCCACAGGATGGTTCTGACGACGATTCCGATGATGGTCTCTTTGCCATACCATTGGCAAATACCAAATCGCCTGTGACGGAGAAAGGGTCATTGACCAGCTCACCCGAATCGCAAAAGAGAGCAGCAAAGCCATCTCTCACCTTGAACACTGAAAATAGACTACGCAAAGGACTTTCTGTGAGCTTTCGGTCGCCGAGTGCTACCCGTGACACTTTCTTAGCGTCTAGCGGCGATTCAAGCGCCCCGGACGCATATCACTCTGATATGACTGCTTCGCCGGAAGAAGAAAGGCCCCCACGCAGAGACTCGTTTGCCCGAGGCGATATCTGGGCTAGCAGACCTCCTGTTGAGGGCGTTATCGATCATCTCGATGACTTCTTCCCTGACATTGACCTTGACACCCCTTATCTGGATGGACAGGGCATGTCCCCACCATCATCACCAGCAAGCAAAATGGCAGCGGAGAACGAATTGAGCCACGAGGAGAAACCAGACGGTCCGTCTTACGCCATGCCACATCCTTCGGCCCCTGTCAACATTCCCAGCGAACCGCCTGTCAGGCCCCCGGAGCCAGGTGCTGTTGCGCGACGGAATGTAAGCCGCTCCGGGGGTGGACTTACTCGAATGAAGTCTATTCGAGAAGTGGCCAAGGGCGCCAACCGAGCTAGCAGAAACAAAAGTGTGACTTCCTCCACCGGCAGTCAACGATCGGGTGACATTCTTCGTCGCAAGAGTACCAAGATGTTCGGCGCCAAGATTATGCAGATCAGCCCGAAGCCTGGCAGCCGGTTGAGCCAGCTTGACCCTATTCCCCAGACCCATGCACCCTCTGGTAACATTCCCCAACGGCAGCCCACCTTCCGGATCATTCGCGGTCAGTTGATCGGCAAGGGAACCTACGGCCGAGTGTACCTTGGCATGAATGCCGACAATGGTGAGGTCTTGGCTGTGAAACAGGTGGAGGTCAATCCCCGCATTGCAGGGCAAGATACGGACCGAATCAAGGAGATGGTCGCTGCGATGGATCAAGAAATCGACACTATGCAGCACCTGGAACATCCGAACATTGTGCAGTATCTCGGTTGCGAACGAGGCGACCTATCTATCTCCATCTACCTCGAGTATATTTCTGGTGGCTCCATTGGCAGCTGTCTCAGAAAGCATGGCAAATTCGAAGAGAGTGTGGTCAAGTCTCTTACGCATCAGACGTTGAGCGGGCTGGCATACCTTCATGACCAGGGCATTCTACACCGTGATCTGAAGGCCGACAACATCCTTCTCGATCTTGACGGAACATGCAAGATCTCCGACTTTGGCATTTCGAAGAAGACGGACAACATTTATGGCAACGATTCGACGAATTCCATGCAAGGGTCAGTATTCTGGATGGCGCCTGAAGTCATTCAGTCCCAAGGCATGGGGTACAGTGCTAAAGTGGATATTTGGTCCCTTGGCTGTGTGGTGTTGGAGATGTTCGCTGGCCGCCGGCCATGGAGTAAGGAAGAGGCGATTGGTGCCATTTTCAAACTGGGTAGTCTGAGTCAGGCACCTCCTATCCCGGAAGACGTATCCATGAACATCAGTCCAGCCGCGCTCGCCTTTATGTACGACTGCTTCACTGTGTAAGTCTTGCCCAATCCTATTCCTTTTCGTGTTGATATGCTAATATGACTCTCAATCAGGGATTCCCTTGATCGTCCTACGGCGGAGACTCTTCTGACTCGTCACCCATTCTGCGAGCCTGATCCCAAGTACAACTTCCTCGACACGGAACTCTATGCCAAGATCCGACATGTCCTTTGAACGGGAACAAAAACCGAAAAGCAATGTAGTAGTGTACAGTCAGTCCCCATTTTTGCGTGTTATCATTAGCCCGTTAGCCCTTGTCCCCTGCATTGTACTTTTCTCTCGTGCTCATACCCCCTCTTTCGCGTCGTAGCTTGGACTGTGCGACATAGTGTGCATACATTTCACCGAGGAAGGTGTTGTTAAGTCAGCAGACCACTCTGCCGTCTCTTCTTTTCATCATGGATCCATTGTGTACATATATAGTTTGATGCAGACCACAAGGTATAGCAAGCTTTACTGTCAGCACATCAGTCCGCCCTAAGGATGGCGTCTGTGGTAAACAATTTACCATGGAAGCATGGTATAATTGACCGAACCACGTCGGGTACAAGGTTGCACACGCACGGCGGCCATGACATGATGCCAGCATCAACATATACCTGACCAGCCTACCAATCATACCCAGATCACTTCACCGGCATCGAAACATTTCCTCATATCTCGCGACTCCCCACCCCAAGGCAGCACATACCCACGCTGATTACTGACCATCCGCACCCCCTCCCCAGTAAAGTCAGTACAAAAGTGAGTATGCCCAAAGAACCCAGACATCCACTGCCGTCCCGAAATGCGGCAGCAGCTCTGTCGCCAAACCCGAACCGCCACGGATTATTGGTGTGCGGACGTGCCCTCCAACGACGGCGCATGATGCGTCACCACCACGAGCAGAGCACAGGCTTTTGGCCGCTCTCTGGAATGTTCGCAGCGGCCTGCTGCTGCTGCTGCTGCTGCTGCTGTTCCTGCAGCTGGACAGCCCGAATCTCATCTCGCGATCCGCCGCATGGCCGGCATTATGCGTCCAGCCGTGGATTCCTCGGGAAGTCGCGGACTTTTGGCCTGGATCTACCCCCTCAGCGTCAGGCGGGGTCGTCGACCGGAGCGTGCAGCCCAGCACCGTGATTTTTGTCGACGACGTCAACGGCGCGGATGGGATCTCGTAGCTGCGCTGGTGCAGGACCGTTCGCCGGTCGTGGAGGCACGGCTCCCCTCCCCGTTCGAGGCGTCGGCTTCACTCGAGGCCCTCCGCTACGGTTGCCGCAGTGGAATTCGGGGTTCTCGGCACGAGAATGACTCGCGCGAAGCGGGTGGTTTGTCTCTGCAGGAAGGCGCGGTAAGGCTCGTAGTCGGCGAGGAGGAGGTTCTGCGCTGATACTGGGAAGTCGTGGGTTAGGTATTGTTGGGTGATTTCGGGGTGGAGGTCGGAGAGGATTTGGAATGTGGTTGTGGGATTGTTGCTTTTTGGGGGTTGGAAGAAGGAGCGGATTTTCTGGGGATCATTGTTTTGGAGTGTAGTTGGGCTACTCTGCACCGCTGGAGGTGTGTATAGTTGCTTGATGTGTGTGTGTATGTATGTGCTTGGACTGTAGATCACGTGCCCTGTAGCTTAATGTGACCACTCCTTTCTCTGTTGGTATCAACTAGCTGCACTCTGGGTGTTTCCACTCACGTATCTTTTCAAGAAGGGATTCTGACAAAAGTCGCTCCGGTGACAAGATGAACTGTGGCTTATGATGTTATCACTTTATTCAAGAGACCCATGTGAGTATCTGTATCGATTTATATGAACATGTCTGAACTCTTGCAGGATACTAAGAGCCATGACTGCGAGGCCACCTCTTAGCCAGCCACATTGATAGTGGCTGTCTGTCTCTAGATATGGTCCTCAGTTGCCAGGCATATTCCACCGGATGAGCTCTACCTCTCTTGGGGCATGTCTTCCTAGCCTGCTTATGCTTCTTTCTGCATGCAGCAGACTAAGTCAATGGACGACTACAAGACCAGTTGCACCATAGAGCAGCTGTGAATGGACTGCACCTTAGGGGCAGACCCCCAAGGACCCGCAAGGTCAAAGAGTGGCAGCCTTCACAAGGGACTGAATTTGCAACACGCTGAGGCAGCGCAACCGGGGCCTGAAAATTGCGGAGAATGCCGAGCCCTGAGCTGCTGTGAGCTCTTATGCCCCGGCGACTGAGTGGCCCTTTGTTTCCACGACGATGTTGCTCCTATCTCTTCCTTACACAAGCACATGTACACTCTGTGTCTGTCTCTCTCCTCCTCTACTCCGGCTTGATTCTTGTCTTACAAGTCTTCAGTCTTTGACCTTGGCACTGCTCTGAGCACGAGCACCTATTGTGAAGTACTCAGTCATCCAGCAGATACATCGCATCACGCATCCCGCCCCCCTCACTGTGAGTAACACGCTGCACAGCTGATATCAGACAGCCTCACGTACTGAGAGTATTGCCAGACACCACCAACTCTTCTTCCAGACAAGCCAAGCTCCAGCCCTTGGACCAAGAGACGCAGACACGTCTCTGTAGCACCCTAACTCTCTATCTCAAAGGTACAACATCGTCGTCGACACCAGCACCATGCGTCAGGAGCGTCTCAACGACGCCGCAATTGCCCTCCACACTGCCCTGGCCGGCGCGGGCGTCAAATACGGCACTTTCGGCGGCTACGCCTGCACCCTGCTCGGCAGCCGACGCGAGACGAGCGACATCGACTGCCTCGTGTCCGCAACCAAGCCCGACATCCTCACTCTGCTGGACGGCGTCAGCAACTTCACCGTGATCCCACGCAACCGCGAGGACTACGTAGCTGTGATCTGGAGTGACAGCGCCAACCAGACCGAGCCGGTCCTGGTGGAAATCTTCTGTGAACGCTTCCGAGGTAAGCTCCGCACCCCCAAAACACCCTCTCCACATCGCCAGACCCCGATACTAAAATGTCCAGGCTCCCACTACACCATGTGTCACTGCTACCCGCGCCTCACCCTCGTGCGCGGCGACATCATGGGCGTGGGCCTCGTGCAGCACCTGCCGGCCTTCACCATCTTCAAGGGCAAGCTCCGCGCGGCCGCCACCCGCAGCGAGCCCCACGACGTCTTCGACCTATGGTGGCTGGCCGGCCGCTTCCAGACGGTCTACACCTACGCGCGCCACCTCAACCTGGACTACGTCGGCTTCGCCATCAAGCGCTACCCCGGCCTGGAGCTGCTGTTCTTCCTGCTGGGGCTCGACGTCGTCGGCGCCATGGCTGGCGTCCAGGACATCGCGCTCAACCAGCTTCCGCTGTCCGGACCCGGCGATATCCAGCGTGGCTTGTTGCTCTAGACGGGATCAGGTCGAGTCACTTGTGGAAGCACCTGTTGATCTTTTTTTCGTGACTGTGGTCCAGCGGTTGACTTGTACTTGTAATTCCAGGGTTGCATCCGATGGGTGGGAATTCGGGTTTCAGGAGACATGTATCTATGTGCGTCGGAGGCACTCTCTTTTTTTTTTTTTTTTCCCGGATTACTGGTATTCAATGGAAGACTAATGCAGCTCTCCTGAAACCCATTCTTGCCAGTTGTAGTTCCGGGCTAAACCCATAACTAGGTCAAGTAGTTCGTTCATCTTTTCAGACAGTTGGGTCTACACCGCGTGTTCTGCTGATTGAGTGAATCCTGTCTCCCTTGCTTTGGCACAGCAGGGTACGGTACCTACTGTACCTACCAGCTCGGAGGGGGCCCGGGGTCAGAATTGTTCAAGACTCTTTGTAACCGAGGTTAACGGACTACACTACTCTCTGACTGACCCCTTGGAGCCCTCTAGATTATATAGAAAACTCTTGACCCCCGTTTTATATGAGGAACATAAGGACTTCTCAGGCCTGAAACTTCCTTGAGAAGGGTTCTATATTAGAGGAATACCTTGGAGTGTTTTTTTTACATTCGGGTAGTCAGGGTTTCGATACGGGTTGGAGAAAGTCATAAAAGAAAGGGTTTGTGTTATTGCCATTCTCAAGTTATACTACACTAATCCTCCCTGAGAAGGTTCCTTTTATTAGCACAGTGCTGCGATGTTTCTGCACCCTTTGGAGCTGGTAGCCCGCGTAGCAGCGCTCCCATGTGCCATGCGATGGGTCGACAGAAGCGGCAGGGCTACGATTCTTTGCAATAACAAACTTGCTGTGTGCTCCAGTTTACCCATGAAGTTTGCGCGGGGATCAGTAGAAATGTCTTAAGCTATGTTTGCAAAATTGTCTGACGAGAGTGGAGTCCGCATTGAGGGTATCATAAGTAGTCGAGTTGCCGGGTAGATATATATACAGTACATAGGTTGGGATCTGGTTGCCCACTAACGCTCGCCCTCAGTCCGAGACGGCTTCATTGGATGAATTCGTCTTCTCCTGCTCGTGGACGCGCTCCTTCCACAGCCGGAGGACCTCGAACCCCACTTCGACGGCGATGAGCAAGATGATGATCCATTCCAGCCGCAGGCCGTGCGTCTCACTGAGCCGCTCGCGCAGCACGCTGGCGATCTCCTGCGCGTAGTCCATCTTCTCGTTCAGCAGTTTGATGCGGATCCCCACGTCGAGCGCTCGTCCGACCTGCTCATAGTACCCCTCCAGGCCCAGTTCGTGCCGACTGTCCCAGAAGATGTCGGGCAGGGAGTCGGTCAGCTCGGAGTAGAGGTTCAGCTGCGCGCGCACGCTGAGGAGCTGGCCCGTCTTGCGGAGGATGAAGTCGCGGGTGAACGGCAGCCGCGAGCCCTGCGAGAGCAGCGTGGGGATGGTGCGCGTGGACTCGAAATAGTTGGAGAGCAGGGACTCGAGCACGGCCAGCTTCGTGCTCCGCGCCAGCCCGGACGAGAACGCCACTTTGGTCAGCACCGTGTCCACCGACTGCCGCGAGGAGGCCGGGAACGTGTCGTCCGGCAGTGCACTGAAACTGAAGCTCGGCTTCGTCCCCAGCACGATGGTGTCGCCCTTGATGCTGCTGTTCTCCCGCTGCGGATCCTCCACGTACTCCAGGTCTTCCGTCTCCAGGTCGTCCACGTGGGCGCCCCGCGCGGCCGGGAGCAGCGTCCGCGTGGCCAGGAAGGACGTGAACGCCTCCGGGAGCGACCAGGCGACCACCGTGCCGGACGGAAAGACGAACAGGTCCCCGACCTCGTCCGGGGGGAGGTCGGACGCATTGGGGTTGCTCACGCGGCGGATCGAGTCCAGCGGGACCTGCACATGCACCACCTGCGGGTAGAGACCGGTTTCGTAGGGGTCCGGCTCATAGCCTTTCAACTGTAGAATCTCTCGGACTTGATGAATGTCGAACTGCTCGGCGACGGCGTATGCGGTAATTGTCTAAATGCCCAAGAGAAGTTAGCTATCATGAACCGGTCAAAAGGGACCGCAACCGCAGGGGGGGGCAAAATACCTTAGTCTTGTATAAGCCTTGCTCCCTGAGCTGAGCTTTCGACAGAATCCCGTCCTTTGACCTTTGCGCCTCAACTGCAACTCGCCGCAGCGATGTCTGTGCCGCAGGCGTCCGGCTGCTCCTCTTTCGCTGCTTCTGACCCTCGAGATGGAACTGCTCTTCTGCATTTTCGCCGTTTCTGGCTTGCTTCTGCGCTAGACAAGCATGGGAGGAGAAAAGGCCATTGCGTCGAAGCGCGCCTGCGAGAGGTGAGGCTTGCAAAAATTGGCTTCGGGGCTGTTTCGTGAACCTAGCCACCGAGGGCCAAAAAGTCATGGATCCGACATATGGTCGGGCGAACATGCTAACGCCACTGATGCTGAGACGAGGGAAAGAATGACAGAGTCAGAGACCGGGATTGTGTCGCTAGGTAGTTGTTGATGCCATACCAGACCATGTGGCCTAGGAATGCAATGCTTTGAATGCTTGACAACGATTACTTATTGATCGATGGAACGATAAAAGCGAACCGGGGAGAAGGGCTTAGTCATCAGGGCGGCGCAAGCAAGCAATTTGATTGAAGATGATAAGCCAAAGCTGATGATGATGCAGTGCGACTAGCCCGATCGGGGTACTACCTATACTCCCGCCTCCAGCTCGGCGACCCGACCGGGTTCTAGCTGGCTCCGTCTCCTCCGTCTAGTTACCACTTGACCGCCGCTACTGGGCTGGGATGCTTCTCCCCTACACAGGCGCTCCAGTTTCACAGTCCAGAGCTACACGTCCACATTAGGCTCTCGCCATGGACGCGCCTGGCGCGACAGAGGCAACCGGGACTGTCCGCCAGGACGGTCACCCTCCCGACTCCCACTCCCACTCCCACCTTAGCCGAACCACATCCGAGGACAGCAATCACCGCTCCCAGCCTGGTGAGCTGGACGAGACGGACCACGATCACGATGACGAAGAAACGGAAAGCGAAACCGAAGCTGGAGATAATTATCATGAAGATGACTCCGACTCCGATTCGGATGAAGACGACGACGAAGAACCACGTCTCAAGTATGCGTATCTGACCAAGCACCTCGGGGCGGTGTATCGCAACGGAGATGCGACTAGCTCCTTCCTGGCTGCTGGGGACAAGATGGTAACGATACATACGGAGCCGACAAGAAGAAAGCAGGCTAAGTGAATATCTAGGTAATTGGCTCGCATAATGGAAACATCGTGAGTTGCTCGTTGTCCGGGTCGGGGTCATGCGAACACTGACAAGCTCCGCAGCATGTATTGTCGATACCCCAATTGCGTTCCCTCCGTGTCTATCACGCACATTCTGCCAGTATCACCTCAGTCTCGATCTCACCTTACCCTCCTCCATTACCAAACGTGAAACCAGAGTATTTTGGCCGATTCGCAGACGACCCGGAACACGCCTCCTCCAAGTTATCCTCAGGCGCCGCTAGCCTCCGTGGCAGACAAAGAACAAACCAACCAGCCATCCCCTCGACGCCTTCGAACTCAATATACATCGCTACGTCCTCCATTGACGGGAATGTCTGCGTTGCATCTTTGCTTGATTCGAAAGACGTTCTTCTGCGGAACTTCGGGAGACCCGTTCAAGCCGTCGCATTGTCGCCGGAGTACAAGAGTGATAGGACATATCTGTCGGGTGGAAGAGCGGGTGACCTGATCCTGACTGTCGGGGGCCGAGTCGGTGTGAGCACAAACTCGACGACCATGGGCGGCGCTGCTGCCGCCGCCTCGAGCTGGCTTGGCTCGATAGGCCTCGGGGCCAACACTGGGAAGGACACCGTGTTGCACGGAGGCGAAGGTGCGATCAGCACGATCAAGTGGTCCTTGTCGGGTAAATATGTTGTATGGGTCAACGAGGAGGGCATTAAGATCATGCGATCAAACCTGCACCTCGATTCGTCTGACGCGGAGTTCGCTTGGAAGCGCATCAGCCATATTGATCGTCCCAATCGCCCCGGTTGGGAGGAAATGGCCAGCGTGTGGAAAGCGCACGCTGAGTGGGTGGACGAAAATACCCTAGACCTTGATGACAGCCTACAAACCAAGGGAGGCGTAACTCATACTGAAAGCTTGGCGCCGACACATCCAACAATCGTCACAGAGAAAGTGGAAAAACTGGTCGTAGGATGGGGTGGCACCGTCTGGGTCATTGAGGTATATCCCGATAGACCAAGCAAGAATAACAGGGATCACAAAATTGGATCGGTGGAGGTAACCAGAATTCTACGGACCGACTGTGTTATCTCCGGTATCTCCTTGTTCACACCCAAGCTTCTGGTCGTCCTTGCGTACATGGAAGCAGACCAGGAGTCACCCGAAGACGACCGCAGCAAGCATGGTGGCCGTCAAACTGGAACGCGCCGTCGCCCTCGAGGCCTGGAGCCAGAGCTTCGAATCATTGATCTTGAAACGGAGACTGAGCTCAGTGCCGATAGTCTTTCAACCAGCCGCTTTGAGACGCTCACTTCTTCGGATTACCATATGTGTATTCTGCCTCCATGGAAAACGAGCGTACCTGCTTCGCAACGGGGAGCTCTAGAGACCATCGGAAACGGTCTTTGGGATGCTACATTCTACCCGGTGCGGCTCTTCAACTCCGGGGCCAGTATTCGCAGTACGACCAGCAGTGGCGACAAGGGCTCTAGTAGGGCACCGAGCATCTTTGCCTCACGACGAGTACCCGTGGAGGAGCCTCTTTCCAAAGAGATCCAGGACATGGCAGGGAGCATTGGGCCCAAGATCCTGGTGCACAGCCCGTATGATTGTGTGGTAGCGCTGAAAAGAGATCTTGCGGACCGTTTGGCCTGGCTGGACGCACATGAGAAATATGAGGAAGCATGGACATTGCTCAAGGAACATCCCGAAGCAGCCGGGTCAGGGAGCGAAATGAACGACACCATACCCGGAACGCCTTCGATATCTCAAGGAAGCTTTGGCGAGTCGTTCATCGACGATGCAGCTTCTGTCATCACCACAACTGTTCGAACGACGGCATCCGCTGCAGAGCAAGAGAAGCGTCGCATCG